GTCCAAAGGACTAATGGACCACAGCTACCAAGGCCCCCACCAGACTGAGTCCAGTACAGCTAGATGGTGCCTGGCTACCACCACCAGCTGCTCTGACTGGGATCACAACAGAGGGTTCTGGACAGAGCTGGAGAAGAATGTAGAACAAAACTCTAACACACACAAAAAAGATCAGATTTACTGGCCTGAAAGAGACTGGAGAAACTCTGAGAGTATGGCCCCCAGACACCCTTTTAGCTCAGTGGTGAAGTCTCTTCCAAGGTTTGCCGTTCAGCCAGGGATTGGACAGCCCCATAAAACAAAATGGGACTAATGAGGCACAGCAGTCCAGGGACAAGGACTAGAAGACAGAAGGGGACAGGAAAGCTGGTGATAGGGAACCCAAGGTTGAGTAAGGACAGTGTTGACACGTAATGGGGTTGTTAACCATTGTCATAGGGCAACATGTGTACTAACTGTTTAACAAGAAACTATTTTGTTCTGTAAACCTTCATCTGAACTGAGAATAGCAGCACAACTGGAAGAACGTAATCAATGTCACTGAACTGTGCATGTAGAGATTTTTGAAATGGTGTATCTTTGGCTATGTATATTTTCACCAAAAAAAAAAAAATAGGTCAAGAAGGGAGAGTGTTGACCTGTCGTGGGGTTGTTAACCAATGTCATAAAACAATATGTGTACTGACTGTTTAATGAGAAACTTTGTTGTGTAAACCTCCACCTAAAGTACAATTTAAAAAAAAAAAATTATCCATTAAAAAAAAAAAACAACACGGTTTATGTGTCAGGAAGCAAGATGAGCAGCAGGAGGCTCCAAGGGGCACCAGGACCCCACTGCGGTCACTGGTGCAGCCCAGTAACCGAACTGCAGGGCCCAGCTAGGGCTGGTGGGACTCCCATAAGCACGGCCCCTTTAGGAGCAAAGGTGGTATCAGTGTGGTCAGAAGGGGAGCTCTGAGGGACCCGAGGACTTCCTTCTGCACTAGCTCCCCCACTTTGCCTGCCCAGCCTTCCTGGAGAAGGCCCTCTCTCCCAGGTCACCAACACTCCCACAGCTCTTTCCAGAAGTGAACTCGAGGGCAGCTAGGCATATCTGGGGATGGTGGCTCTTTGGGGCAGTGGTTTCTCTTGTAGGACTTTAACTGAAGACCAGAGCTTGGAGTAAGTTGTGTCACCACGCACTCAGGAGCAAATCCTTGGCTCCAGGGGACACCCACCAGTTCATGACTCTATTCATTCATTCAATAAATGAATAAAATTTATTTATCTACCTACCTACCTAAGGAGCTCTGGTAGTACAGTGGTTAAGCTCTCGGCTGCTAACTGAAAGGCTGGCAGCTTGAACCCACCAGCCGCTCCGCAGGAGAAAGATGTGGCAGTCTGCTTCCGTAAAGATTACAGTCTTGGAAACTCTATGGGGCAGCTCTACTCTGTCCTGTAGGGTCACTATGAGTTAGAATCAGGGCTTCAAACCAGTTCAGTCATGGCCAATGAAGTGAAACTGGAACAGACCCGAATTTTTATAATTTGGGTGCTCCAGAACGGGAAAAATTACGGTCAAAGCCCTGGAATGGGAGACCCAGAAGAGGCGTAGTGAGCCCTTTCAGGAGCCTGATGCATGAGACTGGATTATTGCCAGGACTGAGGAGAGTGACACACATTCATAGTGGCGTGGTCAGCTGCCATCTTTGAGCGGGGCACCACTGTTTCTGACTCTGTGCAAAATCCAATGGGCAAGGGATTTCATTGCTAAGTGACACATACGCTGCCCATGTTTTCCAAGAGGGAGATGAAGTTTCTAGTTACAACCTGTAATTTTTCCCCTTACAGTTATGGTTTCAGTTCACCGAAACTTTAAAAATTTGAGTCTATTCTGGTGTTACTTCCTTGGCCATGACTGAACCGAGAAGAACCAGTTAGAAGCCCTGCTTGGAAGTGACTCGAAAGTAACAGTTCTGTTTGTTTGTTTGTTTGTTACCTACCTACCTACCTATTGCAATTTAAGCAGCTGCTATATCAGGCCCAATATTCAATGGCAATGTTGTGGCAAACAAATCAGACCAGGTAGGTCTGCCTCATGGAGCTTGCATTCCCGTGGGAGACCCCCTCGGTCTTAACCACAGTGAAGCTAGCCCTCGGATTTGTGTGTAGTCCCTTTGCTTCTATTCACTCACTCTTTCTGCCCACAAAACGCCTTGATCCCTCATGCTCCACATCCTGACCTGAGTCTCAGCCCCCATACCTGCACCACCTCCGGCCTCACATTGAAGGTGTACAGCCAGTCACTGAAGCGGGGGTAGCTGTTGAGCTCAGAGGTCCTCTCACCAGGATCCACGCTCAGCTTGCACTGCCGCTGCTTGCAAATGTAGCGGACCAGCTTCGCCTGCGGGAAGTCCAGGAAGGAAAAGGTCAGTTCAGTCATGGCCCGTACATGTGGCAGCCCTGAGCATGCTACAGGGAAGCCCAGCCAGACCTGAGCAGTGTGATGAGGGGAGGGGCCTGCCTGATTCCCCTTTGCTGCCGTTCAAGGAGTGCGAAGCAGGAAACAGAGAAGGAGAAGGGAAGAATACTCTGGAGAGCCAGCAGAGAGCCTGGACAGCCAGTCAAGAACCCTTTCCCCACCCAAGGCTGTCTGACACTGCCCCATCGTTACAACATGATCATTAGAGAGTAACTGGGCAAGACGGGTCGGAGCAGAACACTGGGTTAAACACAAGAAGGGCTTCTTGCCTTGAGGAGGCAGGAGTACTGACAATATGGAAGACACAGGAGTTTGGGGAAGATGGGGAACTTTCACCTAGGATGCTGCCAGCATCAGACTGCCTGGGTTGGGATCCAGGGGCTCAGTCACACACCAGGGGCTCAGTCACACACTAGCTCTGTAACCTTGGACAAGTTACTAACCAGTTGTCATGGAGTCAGCTCTGACTCATGGTGACGCCATGTATGTCAGAGTAGAGCTACGCTCCATAGAGTTTTCAATGGCTTATTTTTTAGAAGTAGATCACAAGACCTTTCTCCCAAGGTGCCTCTAGGTGGACTTGAGCCTCCAACCTTTTGGTTAGCAGTTGAGTGTGTTAACCATTTGTACCACCCAGGGACTCCGGACAAGTTACTAAGCCCCAGAAAAGCCTCATTTTCCTCTTCCATAAAACAGGGATAATATTAGAAGCTCCCTCTTAGGGAGGTTGAGAGGATTAAATGTGAAAGTTCACAGGAAGCACCAGGCACATGCCTGGCCATGACTGTGCTGTGGCAGTACTAGTGAAGGTCCTTGACTATGGGTCCATGAAGAGGCTTTAAGGGATCCACACTCTGAAATGTATGTAAACTTTAGGGCTGTGAGCCTGTGCATTTCCCAGGGGAGGGGCGTCCAAAGCTTCAAAAGACTCTCAAAAAGCTTGCTGTTGTTACCTGTCGTCAAGTTGGTCCCTGACTCAAGGAACCCCATACACAACGGAACAAAAGGCTGCCTGGTACTGCACCATTCTCATGATTAGTTACAGATTGGACTGTTGTGATCCACAGGGTTTTCATTGGCTGATTTTCGGAAGTAGATCACCAGGCCTTTCTTCCTAGTCTGTCTTAGTCTGGAAGCTCCACTGAAATCTTTTCAGCATCATAACAACATGCAAGCCTCCACTGAGAGACAAGTAGTGGCTACGCCTGAGGTGCACTGGTCAGGAACTGAACCCAGGTCTCCCACGTGGAAGGTGAGAATTCTACCACTGAACCACCAATGACCTCCTCAAAAGGCTAGAATTTCAAAAAATAAAATAAATAAGTTTAAACCTGGTTATAAGGACAGCGTAACTTAAGTCCGTCTGGTGGTCTCGTTTAAAAACACCAACTTAACTGAAGAATGCAGAGGGGTGAAGGTGTGGGAAGGCAGAGCCTGAGGCTGATTAAAAGAACAGTGCTTTCAGCCTGTGAGCAACCATCTAAGATACTCCACTGGTCTCACCCCTTCAGGAGCAACGGAGAATGAAGAAACCAAGGTACAAGGAAAAGATTAGTCCAAAGAACTACCACGGCCTCCACCAGACTGAGTCCAGTACAACTAGATGGTGCCCGGCTACCACCACTGACTGATCTGACAGGGATCACAACAGAGGGTCCCAGACAGAGCTGGAGAAAAATGTAGAACAAAATTCTAACTCACAAAAAAAAGAAAAAACAGATTTACTGGCCTGACAGAGACTGGAGAAACCCCGAGAGTATGGCCCCTGGACACCCCTTTAGCTCAGTAATGAAGTCACTCCCGAGATTCACCCTTCAGCCAAAGATTAGACAGCCCCATAAAACAAAACAAGACTAATGGGGCACAACAGTCCAGGGACAAGGACTAGAGGGCAGGAGGGGACAGGAAAGCTAGTAATAGGGAACCCAAGGGCAAGAAGGGAGAGTGCCAACATGTCATAGGGTTGTTAACCAATGTCATAAAACAGTATGTGTACTGTTTTATGAGAAACTATTTGTTCTGTAAACTTCCATCTAAGGTACAATAAAAAAAATTTTTTTAAGAAAAGAATAGTGCTTTTAAATGCATAAACTACTCAGGGTTACAAAGGAAATTAATTATATTTAAATATATTTATAAAAGTATTGTTTAAAATTGTGATAGTGCAATAAAAGCTTACATATTAAAGCATTAAATTGTAAGATCTAGCAGTGGGTCTAACAACTATCGTAATTTTGAAGTCATGACAAGCGTAAGCTACTTTTTCAGATATCCATAACCGTAATATGATATGAAAATAGTTGTGATTCCTACCGGCGACCAAGTCACAGATATTTGCTAAGATGACTGTGCCTTGTTGCTTGCATTCAAAATTGAACAGCATGCTAAATTTCAGTTAAGCTTAATGAAAATAAAGATGCAATTTTTCTTCCCACCCAAGTTCACGGACCCTTTAATTTTATCCACAGACCCCAGGTAAAGAACCTCTGTGGCTGGAGAGATGTGAAGCAAGAGATAAGACCCAAAATGACAACAAAACCACTTCTTCCACATCAGCTTTTCTGAAACTCCCCCCATAAATTAGTCCAGAAACTAGTCTAGTTTCAGACTCAGAAACAATCCGTCAGACCCAGATTTAGCCTGCTCGGGGGCACTGGCCCTCTGGGGTGGCTTTGAACTCTCTAAGTTCTACTATCTTCAGGGAGTCATGGGGCTCAGTGGCAAGTGGAACAATTGCTAGAAAGGGAACACTGAGTCAGAACCAAAATAATCTCACTCAAATGTACAGTTTTGATGTTTGATGAAAATTCTGGCAGAGAGGCAAACTCATGGTACTCCTACACCACATACTATTCCAGTAACCTGAGCAGACACTGCTAATCAAACATTCTCTACTAATGCTCACAACTCCAAGCAGACATTGCTAATCAAACACTCTCTACTGAAGCTTGCAACTTGGAGTTGCCAACAAGAAGTGTATTTGCTGTCCTTAGGGCTTCGAACTGTCTCTTTCCGGTTCAGTCATGGTCGAGGAGATGACCTGAGTTTTAAAAATTTGGGTGACTCTGAACCATAACTGGGATGGGAAAAATTACCAGTCGAAGCCCTGCTAGAAACTTAATCTCTCTCTCATAGAAAACAAGGGCAGAGTAAGCATTGCATAGCAACCAAATCTTTTGCGCCCTGGATTCTGGGGAGAGTCGTAAACAGCGGAGCCCGGTTCAAAGATGGCAGCAGACCACACCACTTTGAATGTGTCTTGCTCTCCATAGTCCTGGCAATAATCAATCTCACACACACGCTCCTGAAGGGGCTCACTAAGCCTCTTCTGAGTCTCCCACTCCAAGGCTTCAACCCATAATTTTTCCCATTCCGGTTATGGTTCTGGATCACATAAATTTTAAAAATTTGGGACTGTCGTGGTTTTGCTTCGTCGACCATGACTGAACCAGTCAGAACTGATGCGAAGCCCTGGTTGTCCTACTCTGGAGCCTAAGTCCCTGCAAAAATATTCAAAGTATGAAGCTCACAAACTTGAAGACACAATGTGGCTTTTACCCTACAGGTCTAAGAAGAGGTACTCATGTCCCTCCTCCAGGTTCACTCACTCTAATCCATCCTTCCAAGTGTGACCAGAGGCAAATTCTAAAATTAGGGCCCCAATTTCCTTTTCCAGGCTCATCTACATTCCACCCTACCCGACCCTCCCACTCCCCATCCTCCACCTGGCACATAACATGTGCTCAAAATGTCTGAGGAGGGAGGGAGGAAAGGAAACGTGTGGGTCATCTTCATGTATTAAAACATTTCTCAAAGCCAGTCCTTCCCTTCACTCCAAACTGCTCTCAAACCATAGCTTCAAAGAACTGACCAAAGGCAGGACAATAAATCAAATAACTGCCCAAGCTAAAAGCCACACATTAATCTGAGAAGTCAGGTTCCCAGCTCTCAGCAGCAATGATGAGCATCCATCACTGGCACAAGGACTTCCAGGGCCACACCTCTGGGAGCCGATGAATAACAAAGTCTGCACAAGACTTTGGCCACCTTTGACATTAGCCAGCCTAGTTGTGGGCTGAGGCTAGGTCTGGACTTTTGCCAGTGCAGCCTCCTCCAAGGGGTGAGGCCCTTTCCAGCCCTGAGGCGTTCACTCCCTCAAGTAGCTCCCTCAGCCAGGAAGGCTCTTCCCAGGGACCCCTCAGCCCCCAGGGCTCAACTTAGACAAAGCTTCCTCCAGGACGCGCCCCCCAGCCCTCCAGCCCAGTCCCCCACAGCACCCTCCCTTCTCCTCCTTCAGATCATATCTCAAAGTTCTAACATTTTACTCTTTAGACTATAAAGTCCACGAGGCCAGAGGCCTGGTCTGTTTTCTTGGTCACCACTGTCTGACCCCAGGAACCAGTACAGCATACCTGGCACATGGTTTGCTGTTTTAAAACCTTTGTTGAATGGCTAAATGAACATACCACTCATTTTGTAGCCCAGACAGGCACACGCAATGAGGGTGGGAAACAAATGTCAATCAGGCAAGTGATGTGAATCTCTGAGAATCTCAGAGAATCTCAAAAACGAGGCAAGGTCCCAAGAAGAGGAGTGAGTAGCTTCTTTTTGTAAAGGCCATCAGAGAGCCCCGCTCGACAGCCCAAAGCAGGCCTGCAGGTAGGACTGTGCAGAATTTGAAGTGATCCCTCACCGCACCGTTTAACAACCCACACACCCCACAGGCTGTGCCTGAGACAAGGGAAGGGGAAGACCACGGTACGTGTGGCCTATTTGCCAGTGGGTCTGGTACCCGGCTGGCTGATACCTACTGGAACTCGTCAAGCTCTTAGGAAGAAAGACACCTCCAGAACTGGGTTCTGCTGAGGGTCAAAGCCATTCTCATTCACCAAGGATGGAGGTGTTCGGCTTGCGGGAGGGAA